TTTTATTCTCACCTGGGGTGAGAATAGCCACTTCCTTTATAGAAGCACTCCCGTCTCTTAATTAAAGGGTATTATTACTTTGTAGCTGTATAGGTTAGTTTTTTTTTTAGGGCCCTGAACACGATTTGGGCTTTGAAAAAGGTTGCAAATGATTAGTTAAGATGTTATATGGCACATCATTTCCCCTACTACACAGCTAATACGTACTCGCTCGTCAGGGGGAGACCCCTTGAAACCCCCTTAATGCCTAATGACTACAAATGCATGCTTTAAAAAAAACAAAGCCTAAAACAAAGCCTTAAAAAAAGCACTGACCGTATTCGTCATCTGACGGCACTAAAGTGGTGAAGGAGTTGATTTCCGGTAGTGGATGTGACACGAAACGGAAGTGATTCTATAAAAATACCAAATAATCTATCATGTTTTGTCCGAAAGAGAGCAAGAGGCGTTATGCTACTACTTTTCAGTACAAAATGAGCAGTAATATTTCACTTGTTTTTAAAAGGGGCATTTCAGGGGGACTTGCTCCCCTGAATTTAACCATAATTTGATGTTTTAAGGTTTGATGTATCTCTTGCTCGCTACGCATCAATCAACGTATATCTGCAGTAAAATCATAGTAATCATTTAGAACCTGGACAGGGTCCCCACCAGGTCAGGAAATCGGGAGAAAGTCGAGAATTTTGTGATGGGTCGGGAAGTTGGGAATTTTGTGATGAGTCGGGAAAGGACAGGGCCTTAGTAGTGTAGCTATCTAGACAGTATTTTTGATGAATCATGAAAAGGAAACATAATTGAACCGCTATGACAGAAGTGTATGTGTGACACTTAGGCTCGATCGGGAAGAATCAAGATCTACTTTCCCTTTCGTTACCACCCAGAAATTTTCCGGTAATAGTCAGATAACGCAAGATTTGTAACATGCAGGTTGTGCAATACAAACGTTGTGTCGCCATGAAAATAAATCAATATTTGCTCTGTGCTGTCACTAGTGAAAAAAAAAAAGAAAGTTATACAAGCGTCTTGTCAAGCTGGCCATCATGACCGGTCAGTGAAGCTGCGCATCCTAGCTTTATTTTCCCGAACGTTCGGAGAAATAGTGCCTAGCTTTATTTTCCCGAACGTTCGGAGAAATAGTGCCGGCCTAGTATTAAACCCTATTCTCAAGAAAGTTTGCCCTCACACACAATCTGCTTCTTTGCTTCTGGAGCTTCTCGAATCTGAGTTGCCACGGAGTTGTTGGTTGTTGCCTTTGTAAACGCTGGTCTTTCAGTGATGTATATAGCCTTTGATATACTTGTACGTTTCTATCATATCACCACGTAACCTACCAGGTAACAGATGTCCGTGCCGTAGTGAAGTGTTGAGCACAGTTGATGTTGGAGGCGACTAAACAAAATACACCAGAGCCACCGACCAAAAATTTTAGATTTCAGTCCAATCAACAAGCGACTAGAATCTACATTAGATCTTGTTGTGTTGTTGCAGTCGTGGGCATGATTGAAAGTTGATAAAAGACAGAATTTGTCTAATTTGACTATCGGCGGCGTCATTAAATCCCAGTACTGGGTTCCATGTGCACCACAGGTAAACATTCATTATAACCTTTGTAGTTTCAAAAGGACAGAAATCAATACATATACACACCTTTTTTATTTTGCTAAAATGATGTATTTAACACCTTTACCACTGCTCAACCACAGCAATGCGTTTGAGCGTTGCCTTTGTAAACAGTTACCGTGCATTCTTTTCTAGTGCCGCACTTGATAATATCCGGTGGGAATTCCCGTTTGTCAATTCCGGCATCCGATATTTTCAATATAATAGTAGATCCAGATAAATTTTGTCTTATCTTTTATTTTTTCGAACTCCCTATTGAAAATATGCTCCCCAATCATTAAATACAAAATGTTTGAACTAAATTAAATGTGTATCGCAAATGAACATCCTAGTTTTGTTTCTTACCATTTGCTGCGTGATTATTATGTTTGCAAAATGGACGGTGCACAGGCTCGCGTGCAGGAGGCGATTTCGAAAATGGTCAATACCCTCGACACTGGGTGTCTGAGGAAGATGCAGGCAAGTGCTCCGTGTGCTGTGTTAGCAATAAAATGTTTACACGATTACATTTTATTACATACAAAAACAAAGTAAAGAAAACAAATTGTTTCTTCATCTGCGAACTGCAAGAAGCTGCCAGAAGAAGAAAAAGCCGGCGAAGTTCAAGTTCAAGGGCAAAAACCAGAAAATGAAAATTATGATGAAATGCATTTCCTGAGATAAATGCACACGATTCATTTGTAGATTTCTGCCTTATTATATCTAACCAACACTGCTTATTTGCTGCCCCCATTCATTTCCAGATAGTGACCCCACCCCCATCACTCTTGCACCACTCACAAGACTACTCTGTACTGTCACTGTGCTTGTCTGTTACTCTATACTATAGACTATAGGCCTACTTGTCGGTGTACATTTTTACGTTTAGACCCAAAGGCAGATGCACTGTTTTGAGGGCTAAACTACCTTAATTTTGGTATTCTCTGGTTTTGGCTCCAAGACCAAGAGTATTGGTTTAAATAATCTGTAAATTTGTAAAGGCCACCTCCCCAGGTGAGAATAGCGCAGGCGAGCCTTTGCGCTATTCTCACCCAGTGTGCCCTCACCGTGATTGAGGCCAACTAGTGTAGCGTTCACCGTGATTAAACGTTCCAGCGCTCTAGTGTTAAAAACTTGCAATTTTGGGCCCTTTTTCGGTAGTTCCCACCCATATTTTGAGCCTGATCTAGATCTAGAATCTAGATCTATACGTTTGATGCGAGCTAAGATATCAAACCTAAATAGCAAAACATCAAATTATGGTAAAATTCAGGGGGGCATGCCCCCCCCTGAAACCCCCCACCTCATTTTTATTAGGACAGGGGGGCAAGCTCCCCTGATACCCCCCTCTCTTGAGGCCAAAACCGGCGAATAACAATTGCGGGGTGGGAACTACCGAAAAAGCGCCCAATTTTGTATGTGGGCAGTGAGAGAGAAAGAAAGAGAAGAGAGGCGGGGGAAGGGGGGGGGGGAGAAAGAGAGAGAGGAGTAGGCTAGCGCGAGAACTTCCAGGCAGAACAAAATAGCGACCCACGTAGTTCGGCTCGATTCGAAAAGTTAAATAGCCGTAGCATCTTTGTAGACAACCAAATTAATTTACTTTTGTGTTTTAACATAATTTTTAATATATATTATAATTTGTTTTTGTCAATTTGATCGTCCACACAAATAGACAGTATTCAGAAATGAGGAAAAACAGGTCTTGTTTCACACCGGGTGAGAATAGCCAACGCTGGCAAGTCTCACCCGGGGTGAGAAGTCGATGGTATTTTTATTCTCACCTGGGGTGAGAATAGCCACTTCCTTTATAGAAGCACTCCCGTCTCTTAATTAAAGGGTATTATTACTTTGTAGCTGTATAGGTTAGTTTTTTTTTAGGGCCCTGAACACGATTTGGGCTTTGAAAAAGGTTGCAAATGATTAGTTAAGATGTTATATGGCACATCATTTCCCCTACTACACAGCTAATACGTACTCGCTCGTCAGGGGGAGACCCCTTGAAACCCCCTTAATGCCTAATGACTACAAATGCATGCTTTAAAAAAAACAAAGCCTAAAACAAAGCCTTAAAAAAAGCACTGACCGTATTCGTCATCTGACGGCACTAAAGTGGTGAAGGAGTTGATTTCCGGTAGTGGATGTGACACGAAACGGAAGTGATTCTATAAAAATACCAAATAATCTATCATGTTTTGTCCGAAAGAGAGCAAGAGGCGTTATGCTACTACTTTTCAGTACAAAATGAGCAGTAATATTTCACTTGTTTTTAAAAGGGGCATTTCAGGGGGACTTGCTCCCCTGAATTTAACCATAATTTGATGTTTTAAGGTTTGATGTATCTCTTGCTCGCTACGCATCAATCAACGTATATCTGCAGTAAAATCATAGTAATCATTTAGAACCTGGACAGGGTCCCCACCAGGTCAGGAAATCGGGAGAAAGTCGAGAATTTTGTGATGGGTCGGGAAGTTGGGAATTTTGTGATGAGTCGGGAAAGGACAGGGCCTTAGTAGTGTAGCTATCTAGACAGTATTTTTGATGAATCATGAAAAGGAAACATAATTGAACCGCTATGACAGAAGTGTATGTGTGACACTTAGGCTCGATCGGGAAGAATCAAGATCTACTTTCCCTTTCGTTACCACCCAGAAATTTTCCGGTAATAGTCAGATAACGCAAGATTTGTAACATGCAGGTTGTGCAATACAAACGTTGTGTCGCCATGAAAATAAATCAATATTTGCTCTGTGCTGTCACTAGTGAAAAAAAAAAAGAAAGTTATACAAGCGTCTTGTCAAGCTGGCCATCATGACCGGTCAGTGAAGCTGCGCATTCGCATCACATGATAACTTCAGATAAAGCTTCGTATGAGTACCGGGCTTGGGGGGGGGGGGGGGGGCTGAAGGCAACGCTAGATGACAGCAAGTGAACGTGGAAGCAAATTTTTAGTATTTAGAATTTTGACAAAACTACTGTAAAAGCTCTCTGCAAAGCGCTCATAGGTGCAGGCCTTGTGTGGAATCGGGATCCGTCATGCCTTTTTATTAAACTAAAGTGTTTGCGTTTCATTGGATTGGGCGATAATAATTTCTATATTTTAGCCTTCTGTTCAAGATTAGCAGATTTTCAGTGTGGCTGCATCTTGCCTTCCTTCAGTTCTTACACCTCTCACACTAAATAGGTCTACTTGAGCCATTCAAGCAATACAGTGGGTGTCGCATTCAACGAGAAGTCGCCTCCAACGAGGCAATCCTTAATCCCTGGTTTTTTCTTCTATATCTCTTTGTAAATGTACGTCTGCTCCAACGAGGTTGCAAACAAACCGAAGTCGCTTTCAACGAGGTCGCGATAATCAAATAAAAGCAATTAGTGGCCTCATAAGCAAAGGATTTTTCTCCTTTCTCTCCATCTCACACGAAGCACAAGGTCCATCCTCGATTCTTAAAACTTTGTATTGCCAGATCTAGATCTAGATCTTGTGTGCTTCCTAAAATGGGCCCCAAGTCCAAGAGGATGGGCGAAGGTTAACCTACTGTAGGGATGCAGGCTGTGTGAAACTAGGTGAACTCTGGATGGGTAGGTCCAGATCGAGACCTTCATTTTTTTCAATTTTCTTTTCTTCCCCTGATCAGAAAATCCAAGCTCCAGCCTTTACTCTATGTAGATCTAAGCCTAGATGTGAGAGGTTATGTTTCCACACGAAAAGTGTTCCTGAAAAAAACATATTTAAAAATGCAGAAATGACGGTCAGAGCACAGCCCAAACACGTGCACAATGATGCTGTTTGAGATTTTCGTCATCAGGGGGAACAACTGTTTTAATTACTGATATTGGTACATCGCATAATATAACAACGTTTCTCCTTTCTTTTCTTTAGCCTTAGTCACGTTCAACGAAAGGTCGGATCCAACGAAGACAACAAGCGGTTAAATGGAAGCAACTAAGGTATTTTGACTAACCAGAATTGTTTTATTAATCCAACATTGTATCCAATAATCTGCTTTTTTCTATTTTCCAGGTTGATATGTACAACTGCAGTGCGAAATGTTGCGAGAATCCCAAGTACTCTTTAGACGAAGTACAGAAGTGTATAGAAGACTGTTCACTTGATGTCAACAGAGCCCAGGCTTATCTTCAGAATGAGATAGAGTCATTCCAGGTAATACTTCATTCCACTTTATGCTTGTTCCCGTGAAATGTGTAGCAAGAGTTAATGCAGACTTTGCCACTTAACTCAATTTAATTGGGATATCCCGATTTTTTTTCGCCGAATCTCAAAGCATCCGGATTTCCTCAATTTCGATCATGTGTATCCCGATTATTTTGTTCCATCTGTTGCGCCAAATTTTTTTTTAGAAAACCCTTACTCTACCTTCTTCTTTGTCGTGGGAAGCTCCTGTTAAACTTTTGGTCAGCAGGAACTCGGAGCACTATTTCCTGAAATATTGATGCCGAATTTTGTAGTTGACTCGCCCCAACTTGTGTTGGAACTTTGCTTGCACATGTTATTTCAACCATAATGGAAGTAGTATTAATTGGCATTCCGACTTCGGGGATTCTCAAGATCTACTTTAGTTTTTGTATCCACTCAGAATTCTCCGATGATGGCCTGATAACTGTTTCAGTTGTGACATACAAATGATTATTCGTAGTTCTGCTGTTACCATACTTTGAAAACAAGCTTTGTCTAATCTCTGGTTAGTCGGGCCAGTCATCAAAACCCGTCAGTAAAACTGTTTCAATCGGGTGTTTGCATCACGTGACATGACTTTGACGTATGAGTACCACGTCTATTGGGGACCGTCAACTTAAATTCATGCACACTAGTTGAAGTGTATTTCGGGACTTATTTGGGGCGGGGGGTTAGACAGTTGGGCTAGGAGTACTTGATGTGATACTTCAGGATTAAAGAAAATAATGATAAAATACTGACATGCGTGAGTGCATGCACACACAAACACACACACACACACACACGCACACATACACACGATGCATACATGGAATATATTTATGGACATCCCAGGAAAATTTTAAGTCAACTTGGCAGTCACCTTGGTGATTTGTCGCTGATCCCGATTATTTTCACCAAATCCTGATTTTTGCTCCCTGAGATCCAGATTTTTAGATTTCATAAAGTGGCAGGTCTGGTTAGTATGTATTCGTGCCATTCCCATACACATCTATACTATCAAGCCTCGTTATACCTCCTCCCTTGGGACTGGCATGAAGTTTCTCTCTCTGTCTCTATGTCTTTCTTGTGGGGGAAAGATTATCAAGCAGCCTACTACTGGGTATTATGCGCTTTGTGTAGTGTGTACCTCTGGCGGTCAGTTCGCCGACGTTATGGCGAGGCAAATTTACATAAGTTAAATATGGGCCATTTGAATCCGTTGGACCCTGATCATGCATTATATCGAGACGAGAGTCTTGACACCGAACCCTATTCCCAATCAAACTCAGAACCAGATAATTGTTCACAGTCAGTATTTTTGATTTGCTGCCTGTAGTAATTTAGTTTGGGTTGCAAATCTGCCAGGAAAAAATCTCTTTTCATGAACTGAAAGTAGTGAAAGCTAACATCAGTTCAATGAAGTCCATGGTTATTTCCCTTGTTAGACTTTTCTGTGCTGATGATCTTTGACATAAAAGGATTTCGGGTGGTCTCTCACATGTTGCTTTAGTTATTCTATTCTCTTTATTGTAAATTTATGAGGTAGGTTTCTCCTTTTTTATTTGGAGTGTTTCTATGTGCTATTCTATGCATAAAAACTCAAGTAAATATAAAAAAACTGGATACACAAGGACACTTTAATTCTCTCATTTCTTCAGAAGAGAGTGTACATATTGGGAGAAATCCAGCTTTTGATTTCTAGATTATATTGCATAAATTTCAGTTTCAAATTTTGTTGTCCCACTTATGCTGATAAACTTCACTACAGTGAAGTATGCTTAAATTGAACATGGTTAATCCGAAAACAACAGTAAACCAAAAGCAAATAAAATCCTTTTTTTTTCCCCCTTCTATTTGAACAACCTCTCTAAACTGATAACTAGATAAATCGAAGAAAATTCGATGATCCTGCAGATTTCGGTTTAGATCTAAGTGTACTCTATCATGCATGTACATGTACATTAAAATTCTCCCTTGTCTTATCTTCTTTTTTTTTCTTAGTTCTTGAAGCTCTTGTATTTTATGTTTGTTAAAAGTCTTTTTTAGTATGATAAAGAAGGCTGCTAGTTTCTGTAGGTTTTATTGTGTAAATACAGCTCAGCTGTTCAGTTTCAAGTGCTTGTATGTTATATTTTTCTTTCTTGTCTGTTTCAGAATCGTCTTCAAAGGTGTGCTATGAGTTGTCAGGATAAACTGAAAGACCAGATGCCTGTCCAGCCTTCAGATGCTGATGTTCAGAGGGGCAGGTCTTCTCTTGAACAGTGTGTTGTTCAGTGTGCTGATTCACATGTTGGTCTTGTTCCCGATCTAACGAAGAAAATGCTGGAGACTTTGAAAAAGAAGAAATACTAGCTTGTGATCCTGAGCTGAGTTGTTTTAGATTTCTATTTTGGGGTTGGTTTCTAGTGTGTATGGTTGAAAAGTTGTATTCAGAGACATATATTTAAAGTGTTGCTGTTGGTTCATGAGAGAAGTTCCCATGCCAGGAATATTTATGATCACTGCCAGTGAAAGGAAAGATGGTATGCTTTCATGTTGGAGTAACTGCAGCTCCTTTGTTACATTGATGAGAGTCTCTTATATTCTTTATCTTTGGACCATGTCATTTTGTAATGTTATGATTTTCATGCCTATTTTCTTCCTTGTGGAGTAGACAGTGGTGTTCATTTTTTTACTTCTCTATTTAATCTATTTTTGGACCTAGTCCTGATTTGCCAAGATACATTTCATACGTAGGCTATGACCAATAATCCCCTCATTTCATCTTTATATTCTTTCTTGTCTTCAAAAGGGCCTGGCACTTCCTTACTTCTTCTCATCCATTTCTCATGGTAGGCCTACCTGAAATATCTAAACACTCAACTTATGTTTTGGCATACCATCGTTGGGTTCACATTGTTCTTGTGGAAGAGGGGTGTGTGCTTCCACTGATTCATATATTATATATTTTTGTGCCTTGTCCTGTCTACAGGTTTTTAGTTAATCAAAAGCTTCGAGTGGTATAGTTTCAGGCCAGCATTTATTATTTCAAGTGTTTGATACTGGTGTGATATATGAATTGATTGTATGACGTACTATATTACATCTCTAAAGTGTAAGTGACTCTAAAGTGTAAGTGATTTGTGGCAGAGGTTCATGTACATAGTCTACTAGATAGGAAGCTTGATCACATGATGTGCCAAAGTCTGCAGTGAGAGTATGTCAGTTTCTTTCATCGTTTGTTCAGAGTGAGTGTATTACCTCATGCTGAATGCAGGAAAGAATAAACATTTGAGTTGGAGGTTATCCGTAGACTGGAGTTTTTGGCTTCTGTGGTTTGTTGTCTATGTTTTAGATTCTACTGATTTTGAGGGTTTTTTTTCTACAGTTAGATGAATGTTAAGAATTAAAATCCCTTATCAGCACTATTTTAAGGAATGGTGGCATATACATTTTGATATTCTCTTGCCAGCAAGCGAGCCTTGGATGAAGTCTTTGGGTTTATTTGGGCATCAAACACAAGTCTACATGTATTATTAGGTCACGTTTTTGATCCACAACATCACATTGACTCTTTGACACAACTAAAATTTACTACTGGCGATGCTAGATCTGAGATTGATCATGTTGCCAGAAAAGTAATGTATAGTTTAAAGGCAGTTTCAGTTTGATACCTTTTTTATTTTCAGTTGTCTCTCTTTTGGGTTGTCAGCAGTTATTGCCATGCTAAATAGAAAAACAAAACTCTTAATGAGATTGTTTCAGTTTTGGGATAACCCAAAAGCCTTTAAAATAAATTAAAACTAAGAGTGGGACTTAGAACACAGAAACTAGCTAGGGCACAGTTTCTTCATTGTAAAAACCTTATCTTTGATTTGAACAGTGCCTGGTAATGTATGCACTGGGTAGGTAAGCTTCTGAACTATCGGTAATTACATTTAAATTACAGCTGAAGTGAGTGAATTATACATACAGTGGAAACCATATATAACAGGCCCGGTAATAACAGGGATCCGGTAATAACAGGGATTTTTTAAATCCCCGTTTTTTCCTACTCTTTGCCTCTATTAAAAAATATCGGCAATAACAGGGCCTCATCGTAGCCCAACCGGTTATAGCAGGAACAAAGGCTCGTTAACAATGTGTACAAAGTAAGAGAGAGAGAGAGATGGAGCAAGCCCACGCAAGCCATACTACTTAAAGCACACGCAGCGTGTGAAGCGAGAGAGGGCTGCAGTGTGTTGCAGACCTCGATCTAGCCCAAAACCTAGCAACACGCACGCGTAATGTGTCACCAACGATGTCAAGCGCAAGAGAAAAATACCTTTCAATTGACAAAAAAATACAAAATACTGGCAGAAATTTGCCGTCGGTTCGACATTCCACAAAGGTCGATTCACACCATTATCAAGGATAGAGAGAAGATAGTGGCAGCATACTCCAAATTGGAGTCCAATGGAAAGTTTGCTCTGGATCGAAAGAAGATGAGACTACCCGATGCAGATGCTGTGGACCAAGCTCTTCTGATGTGGTTTAAGGAAGCAAGGAGAAAGTTGGTGCCAAAACCCCTGTTCGTGGGTACTTGTGGCAAAGGAAACTACCCATGAATAAGTACAGCTGGATTAGTCCACAAATGCTTGCATTTCTGATTTAACAGGGATCGGATATAACAGGACTTTTCCTCTACTCCCACCATCCCTGTTATATCAGGTTTCCACTGTAGTAGAAAGCAAAGGGAACAGAAGAAAAAAAATAACATGACACTGAGGACTAACAGTTTGCCACTGGTTCACTGTCGTGAGTGGGAATGAATGCGACTTAAAAATTATGGCTTCTCCGATAGGCCCCTGTATTCTGAGACAGCTACCATTATTTTGTTCTATTCAACCTCACTACAGTGACTATATATAAATTGTATATCCTTGGCTACTACAAAAGAAACAGTTTGTAGATAAAAGTAAAAAGTGCTAGTAGTACTACATTGTAGTACACTTAATAAGAAATGTGACTGGAATGAAAACTATCGCCGTGGTTAATACAACAGGTGTTTATGCAGAGGTTTAAGGACAGATTGCCAACAGATGTTGAACAAAAGATGTTCTAAATTCATGAGTTTACGTCGTCTAATGTTCAGCATACTGCCAATGCCAACCATAACAAGTTTAATAAAGAGTGCAGAATTTGCAAACACAGCTTATCTAAGTACAGTCCATGCCGGCTATAAGCACGGTCATCGGGAGAAAGCTTAAACGTGCTTAAAGCCGAAGCGTGCTTAAGTGCGAAGTAGACATAATCCAGAGATTTTCATGTAGAAAATTCTCCGTGTTATTTCCCTTCGTTGGTAAGTAGGCCTATAGTAGTCCCGCAAAAGTGTGCACTGTTATTTAGACACCCGCCATGGTAGTTTTTGTCGCTTGTTTGTTTTTGTTTTGTGGTCGAATGGGAAATGAAAACTTATTTAGACGGCCAGTCACGATACAGCACACTAGGCCTACTGTAACACACTGCCTGTGCGTACCACTGCCCGCTGTGCCACTCATACCACCGCCTTCATCCCACTTTGCGCGTGATACACAATCAGGATTAATGGATAGCGAGGGTCAAAGGTGAAATCGCAGCCAGCCTCCCTTTCTCGTCTCCCCGACTCTCTTTGTATTTTTTGGGGTCGTGTGTAGCTTTGCCCTAGGCCTAGGCTAGATCCTATGTCCGCGCGCACGGCTGTGTGCATCTCTCTGCCTTCCTCTCCGCCCGTGTGAGTGTGTCTCCGTCGCTTGCGTTCTTTGTGTTTCTCTTGACACACTCCACTGCTGCGGTGTAAACTGTGTTCGAACTTCGATGGGTCATCATGAAAATATTGACTGTCTTGTAAATGAAGCGTGCTTGAAGCCGAAGTTACCGTGCTTAAAGGCGTGTGATTTATATAGCAAAAATTCGGTAAGAGCCGTTTAGCGTGCTTAAGTCCGAAACGTGCTTAAGGCCGGCGTGCTTATAGCCGGCACGGACTGTATAAGTTTAGAGTATATTTTAGCATTTCGGAATAAATAGCTGAGGACAGGAAAACATGGAAGAGAATGATATTGCACACAGAATCTGGGCTTCAAACATAAACAGAATTAACCCTGAAAAAAGCTGCATGAAGACAACCATGAGACCAGATTAAGCTAAATTGACCGTCTGCACAGACGAAAAGAGCCATTGAATATCTCTCTCTCTCTCTCTCTCTCTCTCTCTCTCTCTCTCTCTCTCTCTCTCTCTCTCTCTCTCTCTCTCTCTCTCTCTCTCTCTCTCTCTCTCTGTATATATATATATATATATATATATATATATATATATGTATATTATATAGACTCTAGGTGGGGGGTTGGCGGGTGCTCTGGTGTGGTTTGCTTCTTCTTTCCTATGAGACATCTATCGTCCTTATCTCCCCTTCTTCCTTTTTATGTTTCAATTGTTTGTTACTCTCTTGTAACACCTCTAATCTTCTGGCGCTCATATGACCTTATGCTGTTGCGAGCGCCGTAAAACTCTTACAAAAACAAAACATAGACTCTAGACTCGTCAGGAAACATTTGACTCCATCCACTTTGAGTTTGAGTTTTGGTCATGTTCCCGTCTGACCGGGTTTGTCGGTGTGTAGTAGTAAGCACAGTACAGGGTTTTTGCAGTGTCTTCGGTTTCTTACCTGCTTTTGTCAATTGGGCCCGAATGGAGACTGCACTCAGATCTTACTGCACCGCTACATCCCTGAAGGTCTGTGGCTGAACAAACGTGTTTGTTTTCAGTTTCGGGCGACCGATCGGCCCCATCCAGCTGTAGTGGGCACCCCAAATAAGGCTGTCCTCGTGGTTTTATGCACCCCGCATAATTTAGCAAAATTTGATCATTTTTTGCATACTTTCTGAGTATTTTCCTTTATCATTCTTTGTTAAAATTAACAGAATCGCATACTTTCACATTTTTGGGCTCAGTTTGCATAATTTCAGAATTTTTCTTGCAGAAAACAACGGGACAGAAAAGGTGGCAAATACCAATATGGTGTTGTGCGGTTTTGTCCTTTGGTAGTCCCGTCCTTTCTCTTGATCGGCGACGCTTCCAGTTGTCTGGAAACGTTCGTGCAGTCTTCCACTACATGTTGTAGATGGAGTCCGTTATCAACATAAAAACCGTGCCGCAACGCGCCTTTGATTAACACCGGCGATGGGAATTCAAATGGTGCGGTTGCGCTCTTCAGTCCTTAAGAGATCAATTTAAGAACTGAACGTGTTTTCTCTCCCCCCCCCCCCCACCCGAAACAAATATGTAGTTATGTGTAGCGCAAAAATCTGGTTGATTTACGGCAAAAAGAAGTAACAAAATAAAGTTATAATATGATGTTTTACCCGTTTTGAGCATGCCACAAAATGAGAAAATTTAGTTGTAATGCCAGACGGTGGACAATAGCTCACATTGTGAACTTTTTTCCAACACGGGATTTGTATAACGCTGCGTGCATTTGAAAAGTGGGGCGTTTTTAATGGAGCTGAGTGTAACTTAAGTCAGTGCCGTTCTTTAGAATAGGCTCTGCCAGGTTACCCAATAATATAATGCACCGGTATAGTAAGGCTGAATGCTTTCTTTTTGGCAATAGGGCTTGTGATTTATCTTACTTTCAAAGACATTCTTTCTAGATCAAAACTTCATTTGATCTAGGAGGGATTGGGAGTTCAGCTTTCCTCTAGACATTGTTTATGTTAACGGTAGCAGTGGGCTCTATGTGTGTGGGTTTTTTTTTTTGGGGGGGGGGTCTTGCGATTGGAATGTATTGTTGTAGATTCTACATGTATTATTGTTTGGAAAAAAAAAGAGTGGATAGGGGAGCTCGCCAATTTAATACAGTGCTATTGATCTTTTTGTGCTGGCTGGAAAAGCAAGGCAATAGACTGAATAAATATTAGAAAAAGAAAGTTGAAAAGATCAATTCTACAAACGGTAGCCTACATGCATGCCCCCAACCCCGCCCCCACCTGCCTTTTCCATGCACACTGCACACTACACGTTTATTAAGTAACAGAAAAGAGATATTGAAAGTGATAATAATAATATCATTTCATTGCACGCACTGTGCAATTTTGAGCAATAAAACACCCACATTGAAAGTGATAATATTACTTTATCGCGTTTAGACTTTACCATTTATTTGAGGTAACAAAATAAACATCCCTCAAAGAAGTTACGAACGCACTCGAAAGCCTAACAGAACACTCATATTATTTATTAGCAGGCTGCCCACCACAACAAAGGGCAACGATCTCGCAGCAAGCATCAGGCCAATTTT